AAGTCGGGTCACAGGTTAGGTGACAAGCGGTGGATCAAGAATGCTGAAAGATTGAAAGAGGTGCATGTGTGGTTACAGTTCATTTGAGCGGTTTGTGATTCGACTCAGTACTGGGTGACATATGATGGAGTTTTGGTGACGCGATGGCAGCGTGATTACAGATCTGTTGTAATTGAGTAACCACAAAAAAGACCGTAGATGTATTCATTTCTTGATAGATTTCAGCTGCCAAAATAAATAAATAAATAAATAACAAAAGGAAAATTAAGAAAGTTTGTGCATGTAATTTAATTCAAGCATGGTAGATAAAGAGAAGGCAAGTTAAAAAGCATGAATGTGTCAGAGATGGTTTCCTGCATGTCCATGTACGAACCGCCCTGAATCCAATCGTCTCTGTATCACATTTGTGAATGCTGCATGTGGTTCAACTGTTCTCTCTCAGAGGACGAACAGCCCTTTAGAAAAGTCATGAAAAAACAAGTTCTGTACCCGTGTGTTGTCTGAATCAGTTTACCCCCCTACATCCTACCTCGGTACGTGATCTGTTTGTTTTTGACCCACAGTCGACGTAGAGCAGGCTCTGATGGCCTAATCTGCCTGTCTTCGCATGTCAAGACGACCCCTTCCAGGTTGTGTGTTCATTTCCTTTCACTGTCACCATGGTGCTTTGTCCACTCAACGCCCTGCTTATTCCATAATGGCCAGTTTCACTGCTTGGAAGCAAACAACTGGCGGAATGTTTATTCCGTTGCTTTGTTCGTTTTGCCCGAACAACAATTTTGCTCTGCTTCTTCAGCTGCTTGCCTAAACTTTTGTGCCAGCTTTTTGGCCGCTTTTATGCACATAGCACTTTTCAGCTTTTCTGGCCATGAGGGATAAATAAGTCTAACCAAACATTTCCAAAATTTAACCCTTTCTGGCTCATGTATTGGAAAAGGATCCAACACCTATTTGTAGTTGCTGGATATTAAAAAGGTAAGAGATTTCCTGAGATAGTCAGGGTACAAGACTGAAAGGAGTTGGGATTGAATCCAGAATTCTAATCTAAGGCCACGTCCGAATCACTTGGCTGTGGCTTGATATTACACACGACTCTATGGAAACTGGCTGTGGCCACTACCATAGACCCCTGTGTAATTTCAAGCCGTTGCCATGTAATTCAGACATAGTCCATGTCAGTAACTGGTCAGATGCAATTCATGTTATACATGCAAGTCAGGTCCAAAGCTACAGGGAACAGACAGTGCCAAGACTTGTGGTTGGCCAGAGACTGACTTTTTACAGCAGTGGTTAACCCCTGTGAAGTCTGAAATGTTTGGTTGGACTTCTAAACCCTCACCTTAACATAGCTTCACTGATGTAACAGATAAGCGTGTCCTGAGGCACAGCATTGTAACATGCCATGCAATGCTGCACAAGCATGTTAGTTAACGTGTTCGTTGTTAATGAACGTATTCTTTGTTACCGTTTTGTAAGCAACTGTATGGACCTGGTGGTCAGTCAACAGGTGATTGTTGGTTGTCGGTATTTTGTGCGTTAATGCTAACCCTTGGGCAGTTTACTGGGAACCTTCCGGGCTCCTCCAAAATCCTCCAATTTGTAGGAACCCAATGGCACACTGGTTCAATGGGCAGTAAATGCACTGCAAAATAATTGTGGGCCAGGTTTCACCTTCACCAATCCTGCCAAACCTGGTGGATTTGGATGAATCTGGAAGGATTCAGGGAATTAAAAACCGAAGTGTTGTCATTGTCTGAGGCCTTTGTTACAATCCATTTAAAGGCTAATAGTTACTTCGCTTTGGTCCAGCAAAATTGCTAGAATTGTCATTACGGGTTCTAGCAGTGTTAATATTTTGTACATAACTATCAGGATAAGAAACAGTGCATTGACAGGATCTCCAACAATTGGCAATCTTTTGAAAGGCATTAAAGTTTTCCTTGTCACCTACCATCCCATTTATCCCTTCTTGTTCTACTCACTTCATGTTGGGACCCAGGCAACTTATCCATTGGTGTTTTTTCCAAGTCTGTGGACTCGGTCAGTGATTGAGAGAAAATGCCATGTTACACAATAGCCCCTTATCTTGTGGAATCGACACTCGGCATTCGCGCACTTGCTCATTGGCTTGCAGCACAGTTTTACACCATCTGACACGAACTTGTGTCGTGTAATCCAGCTACCAGAATTAGAAGCCGTTACTGCGGTGGCTCCATGGTCATTGACAGGTAGTAGGTGGGCATTACATGTCTATTTGACCAACAGGTTGTTGTGATGTGCACTCGCGCATCAAGTCCAAGCATGCGCACAGTAATACGGTGCCACCGTAGTTACGGTGTTTCCTTGGAATTACTCTGTAGGGTCTTCTGGTACGTGTCACACACATTATACCCCTACTGGGACCCATGGGAGATAGTTCTGTGAAAAGGACTGAATGAACCACTCCGTGTAAAGGAAGAATAAATGAAATAAATACTGGCAATAACATTGAAGTGTTAGCCCAACTTGTTTCTTCATTGCTTATGGAGGGAGCCAAGGAGAGCGTCCAACGAACTGGCCTAAAAGTTTGAACGATGTTGCCGTTGGTGATGTTTTCACTCTTCAGGTGACCATGAACTCCTCACTCAATACGTATCATGAGAAGAAACGACCTCTTATCTCTTCAAGTTCACAAGATGTACATTTCCACTGTGCCTATTTTTGACTCCTGACAGTAGGTACTTGTGATGAACACAGACACCAGTTCCGTAGACTCCTGATTGAGACCAAGCTCTCGTCCATCCCTCCTGGGTTGTTTTAATAACTGACATATAGCCTCATGGTCTTACGCACCGCACTTGTGTTGCCATTTAGTTCACTCCATGTGCAATTTGGTGCACAGATCTGTGGATGTATATATAAGCTGATCAGAGGGTAATTAGAATTCTTGATTGATTTGGCGACACCTGTCTCATCAGTCCCATCCAGTTAAAATTGTCTCATCTCCTGAACGTCACCAGGTCACGGAAAGGGTCAGAGCAGAATGCAACCACCGCCGTTGATGGCCCATCCAGCAGTGGAAGTACCTCATCTATAAAGAGAACGTCCAGTACAAGTGGAACACATGGTAGGTATTGTTTGCCAGTCAAGATTTACTGTGTGAATTGAGTGCCTGGAATATGGAGAAAAGGGCCAGGTGCGGTGACCACAGAAGGTGCCTGTGACTATTTGGTGCACGTTAGTCAATAGTGTGGTCAGGACTTGATTGTTTCTGCATGTTTTGATTTCTAGGTGAATCCAGAAAGAGTTCAGGTACATCAGTCACCAGTCCACGTGTACGCCAGTCTTCAGCCAGTAGTGTAGCCACAACAAATTCGACAACTAGGATGTAAGTCTATTCTTTCGTCATCGCCTCAAGTTGTTACACTGAGATATTTACCCGCATCCAAACTGGCCTTTTCTCAGTCATTTTGTGAGATCTAGTCTGAAGCAACCTTTTTACCAGCAGGACTTCTGGAAGGTTTTGCACAGTAAGGAAATTTTGGCATCCCACATTTTGCTGCGAGTTGAGAGAACGTGTTTAATTAATGAAACATTTACAGTATCCCCGTGCTGTTAATGAGCGGCGGACTTCTCGTCTGAATTCAGATTCACATTTGGATGGGATTCTGTCAAGCACATTGATCTGGAAGTCACAAATACCCTCCTTCCTCCCTGAAAGAATTTTTTCCCAAACCTCTTTCCCTTCGCCGTCCAGAGCTTTCTACATTACGAAGAAAGTGTTTTTTTTCAGGAATGAAGGTTTTTCTCCCTTCATCCATTTGCAGAAAGAAGACCACAGCCAGCAAGACATGAGGATCACTCTGTCAGCATTTGAGACCGTGCTGTGGTAGAACACTGAGCTACGCATTGCTATCAACCAGGAAGCAGCACAGACAAGACCACTGGATACAGTGTGAGAACTGGTCAGACTCACGGCTTGCCAAAGTGTTTTCGGTGTTGTTAGGTCGTTGTTCGATGGACTACCTCTAGGGTGGCTCGTCATTTGAGATATCTGTTTCACAGACGGGAGTAAGTATGGAGGCCGGTTATGAGTTCATTCTGGAGTGAGTCCTGCTCAGCAGTGAGTAGCTGAAAAAACGTGTGGAGAAGGACCCAGCCGGTCTCCACCTTCTCGCTCGCCAACTGTGCATTGAGTCATCGAGCTCTTTGCTTCTAGCATGCTTGTAACTATTGGTATTGAGTAATGTGGATAAGGGAAGTGCCCTGCTTACCGCGACCTGAGTTCTGTCACTCCCACGGAGATTTCTGCATTGAGTGCTGGATGTCTGTAGACTGATAGTGAAGTATGAGTGGAAAGCTCTGTGCCTTATCTCCTTCGAGAAACCTTTCAAAAATAGATTCCTGTGCTGCAAAAATTGATTGCCTTTGTCCGTTTTCACAGACCTACTGGTGGAACCTGGAATCAGAATGTTGTGAAGAGTGTACTGTACAAGTAGTAAAAATGTTATCATTGAGTAAAACCAGAAGTCTGAAAATCTAAACACTGTGGCCCTGGAGGTTCCCCTGAAGGGAAACACTTACAGAAATCTGTGATGGTTTAATATCGAACAGACCCACATATTTCTCTACACGACTTCTTAAAAGTGCCACTAAAAACACATTACCGGTATTTGGAGTGCCTTAAAAAGTCCCCAAACCACGGCCAATGCAAATGCCATAATGCTGCTCAACATTCTACTTCAAAAGCAAATACTAGTTAATGATAAATGAACAGTAAGTGTCCTTTTAATATACGTTTGCACGATAATGCCAAGAGTTTTGTCTTGAAGCAGTAAGAATTCAGTGAAGAAAGATCTTCCAACTGTGTTCGATCACTGACAAAACTCTGCCCCTTTTTACCTAAGAGCATGCTTGCCTGTCATGCAGAGTACATGCACACATAAACTTAGTAGGTTTCTGTGAGCAGTAGATATCGTGGCACATGAGATGTTTCGCCAAGTTTGCTTGTCTGTAAGAGCGCATCACTTCAAGAGTTTTAACAAAGGAGCAAAGCCCATATCAAGATATGGATATACTGTAAGTAGTGTCTGTGCTTTAATATAACCGTGAACTATTCCCAACAATAGAGGAACAGCTCTGGGGGTTTAGCTTGGGGGTGGGGGCAAGAATAACTGCATTGATTGAAATCCTGTTGAATGATGATGAAAGTAAAAATCTGGACACTGAGACCCGCCGGTTAATCAACATTATGGCAGTGTAGTCGTCAATGCAATGAGTTGTCAAACTAAACCCAGATTTTTTCAGACACTTTTTTTCCCCGTGTGAACCTCTTCATGTTTGCCTCCAATATTCAGCATTGGACAACGGGTATATCATATATTTTTTATCCAATATGTATATTTCTTGAGTCTTGCACAAGTGTCCCACATGTCGGCTGGTCTTAGAGTAAAGTTAATCTTTTAAAGAGTCGATGTTTTACAAAAATGCATGGAGGTTCTAGTATAATTTGAGGTCTGCCTTGCAAAAAAGGATTTTATGTTTCAAAAGTGAAAAGTAGAGGAAACCAGCCAAAGGTGAAACTAGATGGTGGTACAGTTAACATCCAATTTTATACGACACCTGCATAAATCCCTGTCATCTGATTTGTGGATGGCTGACCACATGGTCTTGAATTATTTGTACCAATGCAGCACGTGCAATAGAAACAAAGAATGAACACCTCCGGATCGTTTGCACTGCAGCTTCCAGTGGCACAAGTTTCTATATGGCAAAATGACAAGCGATCAAGCTCCATTGTTCACAATTCTACGAAATAATAAGAACTTATTTTTTGTAAGTAATGCTGATTGTGCCAACATAAGGAAAGAGATAAAATGCTGCCACAAGTTTAAATGAGCTTGGAATATCATGTCAAAAATTAACGGATTCACAACTGGACAACTGCCAGTTTGAATCAGTTAATTAATCCAGCTGCACTCAGGAAATCAGATGGCAAGGATTTTTATTGGGGGGGGGGCCATACTGTGCCGTAGATTGTAAGTATTCTTCCATAACCAGAAATATTCTTCTGGTATCAGCCAGACCTTGGAATTAAGTCAGTATTCAGTTTTTGAAAAATTGTTAAGCTATTCAAATTGAGTTTCCAAAGGGCCTGTTAATTGGAGATGGATAATATTTGCTATAGTGTTGTATGTCATTGTCAGCGATTAGTGTGTGCAATAGTTATGGCTCGCTGTCTGTATGTGCTGTCATTTGTATTTGTAGGTTGTCAGTAATCTTATGATTTGTTACATTTTAATTATTTGACATTGGATGGGTCTTGTTAGTATGTGAAACCTTTGGAATGAGAATTTCATGTCTGACTAAATTGCTCTGTCTATTTGAAAAGCAGTTCTTTTGAACATCTATCTCAAAAAATAAGATGCAGTAACAGTTCAGGAACCATATCACACATGACAAGTTATTAGCAACAATTCAATGAACTCCTTTATCTGACAGTGTAAGAGTGCCTAAGTCCTGTGGTTGTGGATGAAATTAACATGCATGTCTATCACGGCTATTGGCCAATAGCAGCTTGGGATTTGAGTCCATCACAACTCCAGTCGCAAGTCCTGTCACGGGACCAGTCATAAGCAACTGGGTGAACACAGACACCGGAGTGCTTTTTGTCACAGCTCATCTAGAGCTGGTGACTCTGGCTTGGCACATGGGATGAACTTGTCATGGGCTGGTGATGGAGTTGATCGTAGCACCGGCTAAGGGATTTCGTGAGCCAGAGCTTTGGGCATGGGCATTGAGGGTTGGAGAGGGACAAGGACCAGGACATTTTTTTTAAGGTTAGAACAATAAAAGAAAATGGTCGTTTGTCAGTTGGTGAATCGCTCTGTCCTAAAGAGAGCTGTGTATCTTTACTGGTGATACTTATGACTTCTGACACAGCGTTGTGGAGTCCTCAATTTATTAATGCTCAATAGGTTTCAAATTGGGATTTTTATCCCCACCCATGGCTTTTGCCAATGCCCCAGATTACAGTAATAGGCCTTGTACTTGAAGGACTCCTAAACATTGGCACTGCTTACTTGAAGTGTGGAGTTGCTGTTATTGAAGATAGGCATGTACGTGTATTGTGCCTTATCTTCATAAGCCTTCAAATTGTCCAAGTAGGAGTTAAAACGTTAAGCAAAGTTGACACTTGAAAGTAATGTTGGTAGCATCTTAAGCACAGCTAATGGGTTTGTAGTTAGAGCCGGTAAGCACACAAACTCTGTATTCAGCCTTTCGAAGTGTCAAGAGCTGTCCATAATTCTCAATATTTTTGCAATGCTTTAAGACGTAGGGCAAAGGAAGGAGAAAGTAGTTGCCAGCTTGGTAAGACTTTCATCCGGTGGTGAATGCCAAAGATATATGTATGTATGTTTTGGGGTTTTAAAGCAACTGTCAAAAGTGTGAAAAGAAAATTTGAAAGATGTAATTCACAGGAAGAAAGGGCTTTGAAATTTGTTTTCCTCTTTGGTACAAACCTATCTGTAACTTTTTTTGCTAAACTAGATAAAAATACTAAACTAGATAAAAATACTAAAAAAGAATTTCAAAAAGACGACTTACATATGATTTTTAAAGGCTTTGTTTAAAAAGTACTTAAAATTGCTCAAAGTTGCACCATTACTTCTGACGCATTTATTTATACATGTGCATGTACTATGAACACATCTTTTTGGGTTTTTTTTGTATTTTCATTGTAAGATATGAAGCAGTCTTTGTACCATAGCAACTTAACCGCTCAGATTCACACATTTTTGTGTGTTTGCGATATTTCAACGAAGTGTACCACGTTCACTCCTGTACAAACATACTTACTCAGCTGCTTCACTGTACATTTTTTGTCTCCCTACGTATTCTGTCATTGCGTAGATGCAACTCTTTTTTTTTTTGTTACAGAAAGAGACAATGCACATGAATGTTCAAAATAGTTATTTAATTCACCTTTTTTGGCTGGTATCATTCACAGTTTTGTACATATTTGCAGAGTAAGTGGCTCATTAAAGATGTTTAAGTACCAAATACCTAAATCAGCTGCGTTGGTTTGTTAGTCAGTTGGCTGGTTTGTGTGTTTATGTGCTATTTGAATTGAGTATGCGTGCTTTTGAAAGTAAAAAAAAAAAGGGACAGTGGCGTGGAGAGAAATGAATTGTCAATGTAGAAAAGCACATGATCTTTGTTAAGATTTAGCCAACTTTTATTGAATTACCAAAAAGGAAAAACATGGTTGTCTTTGATAAACAGGTTTTAACAGTACATGTACTTAATTACGAAGGTCCATGCTCAGATTATCCGCCTTGAACAGAAGCGCACCCCCGTCCATCAGTGCAAAAGAACCATGTTGATGGATAGTATTAATTTTGTTTGTGGAGACTAACCGTAAACATGAATTTCATAGTCCCTTTTGAACCAGCAGAGTGCGTTTCCTACCAAAGGAGCCCCCACAACAAGGAAAATTGCACCTTCTGTTGGTCTTTCTCCGAGCAGATAAAGTAAGACAGTACAGGTTGGTAAATCATTACAGAAAGGACACAACAGAATGACTTGGGTCACGGATATACTTGGCGAAAATATTTTAATAAATAAATCTGCTACACTTGGCAAATCCGTGTTTAAGTCTTGAAATCATTCATGTCTGGAATTTCAACACAAATCCATAAATTAATGTTGCTGTTTTACCAGTTGTAAAACTGTTAAAAATGTGAAGCTATGTAGATTCAATAAAAATATTGACATTAATAAGATTATATGATGATAAATAACAGCAAGTTACGCATCTTTGTGTGATTTTTCGTCTGTTTCTTTAAACATTTTGGACATATTCAATGCAAAGATAAACATTTGCTCCAATGTAGAGGGCTGACTCTCAACAAAAAACAAACTATACCATTTTGTCAGCCCACCTATTAAAACCTGTATATGTAGGTGAATCATATGAAATAACACATTGTCTTCACACGTGCTTGTTACATGGCTTCTAACTAGCACCTTACAAAGACACCAACAAATTAGGATCATAGGATGCCACTACAGTGGGGCTGCGACAATGGTATTGTGTTCCTGAGGTTGCTGATTGAAATCTTACTGTCGTCAATTTATCATATGAAGCAAGATATGGGACGGAGAGCAGCCCCCCCCCCCAACTTTGTGTTGGTCATTGTTGATCGGAATCTCAGGAATTCTTTATGGGGGGATGTGTTAGACAACAATACTCTAGGGTGTATATAAAGATGGGACATGTAGGGGGGTACCCCTCTGTCCCATATCTTGCTGGGTATACAATTTCTGTGTTAACATATTGTTTCCCCACTGGTTAATACTTAGTCTTGCATGCTTACACTCGATGTCTTTCAAAACATAAGGGTGAGGAGTAAGTAATGCCTTGAAAAAAGAAGAAAACTTAAGTTACAAATAAAAAGCATACTTCAGATATGGTTATATTCTAATGTGCCATCTCTTTTCACAAAGATACCACTGTACTTTACAAAACTTATTCACATTTGATACAGTTGATAGGTCATGCACAAGAGAGGTACATGTACGCAACCTAAGGATGAAAAGAGGTACACAGTGTACTGAAACTTTAAAGAGAGTACAAAAGTTTGTACCTTCGTACAGGTTGGAAATAGGATTTTGATTTTATCCGCACCCTTCCTTGATAGATACACAACGGGTACAGTAACGGTACTAGTGCCAGAATTTGGGGGACACAAAGGGTATACACATTTTTTGGGGGGGGCACCAAAAGCCAATGAACTGTGGCTGTACATAGGCTATTCACATTTCAAAACTCTATATGGGTAGGGGAGGGGGAAACAGACCTCTACTTGGAGGGGACACCCCTTCCACAGTTAGGCCACTGACATAAAACTGTGATCATGAGAGTTGTTGACAACCCTAAACCCAATATTATTTTTCCCAAATGTCTTAGGCAACATCAACCACGATCAGTCAAGTCTCTATAGACTAATCCCATTGGAAGCCATGACTGAGGGTGGAACCAAACTCACAGGAATATTCTTCAGCTTGACACGTGCGCATTTGGGAAATCATGACACCCAACTGGTTGAAGAGGCGTGTAATGCGCATTCCATGCATCCATGAGTGCTGTGCCACCGCAGTAATGGCCTCTAATTCTGGTTTTCGAATTATACTTTAGTTGGCTCCTTCTTTGCCTGAAATACTTTATATAATGTAATACTTGATCAATTTGATCAACTATCTGGAAGCAACTTTGTGCAGTGTTTTTATTTTTATGTACAAGTACCACAGTCAGCAACCCACAAATATTGCAAGGATGGTGATAGTCATGCCTTACTTCACTTGCAATGAAAAGCTGTCATAAAACCTTGAGGTAAAGTCCATATAATGTGGAGTAAGTAATAACAAAACAACATCGCTCGGAATTACGTGGCTATTGAAGCCATTAGGCATGCGGCTGCAGCCATTTCCCATAGACTTGTATGTTACTGCCACAGCCAAGTCATTGAGACAAAGTCTTTGTAAGAGTTACTATAAAATGAATCAGTGTGAAAATCAGTTGGGTGTTGATATAAATATATTCACTATTGATTCATTTCTTGGAATGTTATGTACATCTGTGCATTGAAAAATACTTTAATGGTTCACTACCCTTGCCATCTGACCAAGAGTGCACCCCGACTTTTTGAGAGGCAGTGGATATTTTAGCTGTCGTAAATTTAATTGAACAATATTTTGCTGGGCTCATGCGCTGTAACTGTATTTTTGGACTTGGGAAATTTTTTTCCTTGACAAGTCTTGGTCAGGTTCTGTTCAATATAGTCATTGTAAATTTGTATTCATGAGGTGGGAATCAGACCATTTTACGAGTTTGGACTTTTTCCCTCAAAAAAAAAATGCTCAAGAGCTGTAATTTTGAAAAGTAATACGTAACACTTTGTGATTAAATGCTGGCATCAATTTAAAAATAACCAACGTAGACTATTCTTAACTTTGGAGGATGGAAAGAGGATAACAGCTGCTCAAACCCCACTGAGAGTGTATCATGTGATTTCAAGGAATGCACGCTATCTACTTCACCATGGACCATACTTGGAATTTAGTGGCAATTTAATAACCTTTATAGCCTTACTCATTTAGGGGCATCAAAGAGGTCATTTTCTACTTATAACCAGCTAAATACAGTTCAGTTAAATTTGCCGGCGACAGCTAAATGTCTACTGTCTTTTTTTAAATTGCCCACAATAAGGTCAGATTTTACATCAATTTACAAAGGGCGTTTTGCGCCTTTTTGGTTCTTGCTCACAGTAATATTGGCTAAGTAAGTTTCCAGGCCTGTGAAAATGATCCTAACAACATTTATGACTGGAGTTTCTTGTATTTAACCTGCAGGTGTCTCTTG